TCCTGTTAGAAAAATTGCCCGATATCTTTTTTATTTATTTTTCCATCTGTATCATCTCGGTGACCTTTTTATGAGGTTTGACGCATGTGCATGTGATTGGTAGCAAGAAAAATAATTTAACATAATAATATTGATCATCACTTCATCTTAACTGGGCAGTTGATTTCCCAACATGCTTTTCATTGGACTGGATAAGGAAAGTATATGTTGAAATTAAGTAGGCCCATATATATTTAGAAAACACACATGTATATATATATATATATATATATTTAGAAAAGAGAAATACCCGCTATTGTTTAATGTTCAGTTATGTTTAACATTTAAAAGAGTTTCTGTTACGTTGAAGTATACCTACCCCAGATTTTATTGATGGAAAATCGTTTGGTTATCACAGTACTCGTGACAGTATAGAAAGAACACAAAGTAGCCACAGTTTTGAGTGATTCTTGTCTGTGTGGTGGCGCAACTGGTAAACCAAGTGTGTTTGTGTGGCAGCGACTCGAGTTCATATCCAGTCCGTAGTGTTTATATAGGGCCCTATTTTAACGACCTAAGTGGATGGTCTAAAGCGCATGGCGCAAGTGCACTTAGGGCGTGTCTGAATTCACTTTTGCTAGTTTAATGATGGGAAAAATGGTCGACGCGGCCATGTGTGCTGCTAGGCGTCCCTCTGTGTGTAATAAGCTGAGTGTACGCACATTGTGGGCCTGCCTTTAGGCACACATTACTAACACAGTCTTTATTGCGCCATTGCGCTAAAGAATATTGCGTCATTGTCTTTTGGCCAGGTTTCAGTTGGTCAGTGGCACAGTCTATTTCAGTTTCCTCAAAATTGCAACGTGCCAACAATGCGCTTTTCAGACCAGCACGCCCATGGGCGCTCAAATGGGAGCAAATGCATTTGCTATTTAAAGAATTTGGCGCAGGATGTGAAAATGATAACTGTATCGGGCTGAAACTAGCAAAAAACACTTGCATTGTGCCGGGTGTATAGGGCAGTCAAAGTACATGCTGTATCTGTTTCCATTGTCTCACTGATGTTCTCGATCCTCAATGGTCTCAGTCTCGACTTGGACTCGATTCCCTTTGCTCTCGGTCTCGACTCGGACTCGAGTGAGCTGGTCTCGACTACAACACTGTTTTTTACGACATAAATTGGTAAGCACAGACGGTAAGAGTTCCGAACCACAACAGGCAGATTGGCACAGGTTACACAACTGGTGCCAAAAATAAAGAAAGCAATTTTTTGTTTATTGTGTTTGTGGAGTCTTCTGTCGGTTTAGCCTGGTTAGTAACTTTTAAAAGGCCTCACCAAATTGGAACCTACATTTAAAATTGAGAAATGGAGTTCCAGATCTCAAAATTGCGCATTCATGGGTATGAATGAATGTGTTGAAATGAATGATTGAGTAAAAGAGAGTATTGAGTAGTGTTGAGAAATCACCTAAGAGGCGTGTTTTGCAAGTAATTCAGAGTTTTGTGAAATCATCCAAGAGGTGTGTGGTGCAAATAATTCAGAGTTTTGGGAAATCACCTAAGAAGTGTGTAATGCAAGTAATTCAGAGTTTTGGGAAATCATCCAAGAGGTGTGTGGTGCAAGTAATTCAGAGTTTTGGGAAATCATCCAAGAGGTGTGTGCTGCAACAGGGAACGCTCCCATAACTTTCACTAATGTTATGTAAAAGTTCTAGAAATTTTTTCTGAAAACTTTCCTGAAATAATGTTTCTGGAACAGGCTTATAATGTTTATGTTAAAATAGATTCTCAAAATGTTGAGTGAAAACGTTCTTAGAACAACATTCCCAGATAACAAAAATCTGTTTGCGATGCAGCGCCACCCCTGGACTTTCAATCTTCACATGATCAGTAATTTCACGACATTCACTTACACCTAAAATCACTGAGACATGGCAACCGGTGTTCTGACGATTTGTGCTGCCTTGTCGAAAAATGCTACCGTAGCGTGAATCGATAGTAGAGTCTGACCATAGATATCATCTAGGGACTAGATGCCCTTTTGGCTGCTGCGCACTGAGAAATGCGGCCGCCATCTTAAACCGGTCATATTCCTATTGTCTTGCATAGCAGCAGTAGATGACAGAGCACTGTGCAGCAAATTCCTGCTCGAATCGGCTGGCTATCGCTTGGGAATTACTTTTCACAAGTAAGATTTAACATTTAACATTACCTGACTTGTATTTTGTGAATAAAATATCCCATGTGTATCATAGCTACATGTATGACCTTTGCAGCAAAAAAACCCGTGTGAAAATCAGTTCGGTATTCAGTGAGATATGATTCATTAAATGTGCTGACAGCTCAAACCACCTGCCAAACAGATTAGACTGAGCGGAGCGGATGACCAGTTTAAGGAGCAGGCCCCACGGCTCGTCCGTGCCAATAGAGCATCACAGTCCCGCCCACAGCCGGTGCCGGAAGTAAAAATTCAATACAGTGTCTCCATTGACATTTGAGATATAAGCCATAAAAATGTAACCATACATGGTAGAGCTATGGCTGTACTAAGCGACTGTATATGCTCATATAAACGCCAAAAGTTCAAATTTATGGGATGTGTAGTTCCTTTGCTCAAAAATGAAAATATGTACACAGTCTTGTATCCTTAACTTTTTTTCAATTTTGTCTTAGTTTTTTCACTCGAAATGATATGTTGTATGAGTTCAGCCGTAGCTGATTATCCTCAGACATGCTCTAATACTCTTTAGATATGGATTTTACAAAATGTCAATGGGAGAAATGAATGGGAAATTTACTTGTGGCACCAGCGCTCTCTCAGGCTGTGGGCGGGACTGTGATGCTCTATAGGCTTTAGCGGTCAATACCTATATGAATGTCTATCGAGTCTGAGGATTTGTGCTGTCTTCTCAAAAAATGCTACCCAAGAGCAAATCGATCACAGAGAATGTCGATTCATTCTCTAACTACTGTTTCCATAATGATGTAAATCTCACAATATTAAGACATTGTTATTTCTTTTAAAACAGGGTAAGTGTATGGGGAGCATATTTTTATATTTTAAATGAACCAGCAAATATCACTTTTGATATAACAAGTAAAAATGACATATATTATATGAAATACAATTATAATAAAATTCTAAGTTATGAGTACTGTATACTGGTACTGTTTTTTTATTTTTAAAACTGTGTGAAAAGTAAAAATTATCATAAAATATCCATCTTTGACCTGTAAAAGCACACCTTTAACTGAAACTTTCAGTTATTCTTGTTCAGCTGGCTGACCGTACAAATATTTATATGGTAGTTAGCATTTTTTGACGCATGAATATTTACCTTATGTTCTCTGTCATTAAATATATATATGAAGAGTTCAGATGCAAAAGCCTCTAAATGCCATTTGAAATTTTCTTCTAAAATGACCATTTTTATCAAGCTTGTATATTTAAGTTCAGTAATTTCACTTAAATAACAATTAATAGGTAATCTTTATTGCCATTTAAGTGAAATCACTGAACTTAAATATACAAGCTTGATTAAAATGATCATTCTAGAAGAAAATTTCAAATGGCACTTAGAGGCTTTTGCATCTGAACTCTTCATATTATGTATTCAAGATTTCAGGAGTAGCATATTCTGTAATAGCATCTTTAAGATTCGGGTACTCAAAACCCTCCACCACGTTAAGGTGGCAGTTCCTTACCACATAAATTATTGGACTATTGAATTAGACAGGGCAATGGTGGATGTGTTTGATGTGTGGTAGTTTTGACAAATGACACTGCATCTCTGGCCTGCTGTACTGCCTGCACCAATCAAATTATCTCAAGGTGACATGCTGAAATAGTAATATCTCCATAGTCATCACTGCAGAAGGTCTTTTGGAAGTAGTTATAGAAAATGAATCAATTTTCTGTATACCGTACATGATTCAAGCCAACTCTGAAATGTGTCCTTTATTTTGACTGCAATTAAAAATATATACTCAACTTTCTGTGTAATATAGTCTATATTTAAATTTCTGTGTAATAAAATCACATAAATTAACTGCATGCATAAGCAATGTAGTGCTGCATAACAAATTGCCAGAATGGCAGAAATAGTACTAGCGTACTATTCTGAATTCAGCTCAGGCTACGTCCACATTAATCCGGATACATTTGAAAACGGGGTTTTCGTTTAAAAACGCTTTCCGCCCACACTAGCGTTTTCAGGTGTTTTTTGACGTTTCAGTGTGGATGAGAAACTTCTAAATTCACTTTACTGCGCATGCGTGAAACTTCACAAAAGCTCACCGAGATGATACAGATGGGAAAATAAATAATAATGTCATTGCACAATAACAGGATAATTTTATTTAGCAAAATATCTCACCATCACGGATGCGTCCAGGTCGCATTCAGTCACCATATGTTTGGTCTAAAACGCAACTGCTCTCCTGTTTTGCCGCAGGACAGCAAATGTGAGTATACTGTTATCTTTGCAGTACTGTGCTGCTCGCTATGAAGAATAGCACATATTAAGTAACATAGAAAGTAACAGCAATAGTGTAAAAATGAATAACACATAACAGGCACAATACCGATAAACATGAATATCTATTGGTACTACATGGATCACATGACTAAACTTATGTCATCGTTTTGAAATACCTCCGGTTTCACTGTCCACACTACAACGCGAAAACGGCGTTTTCAAATTTATCCACTTTGGAGAGCGTTTTCCGAACGATACGTTTTTGTTGACTTAAAACGCCGTCTCAGTGTGGACGGAAGGCCAAAACGGAGAGAAAAATATACGTTTTCAAACGAAAACGTATTAGTGTGGACATGGCCTCAATATGTGGTTTTGTGTATGTTCACATAGGGTGGAAAAACAAACAAACATGTTTTAAGAACCAATAGAATCCCGCGGTTGCATTAACCCCCACCCTTGCAAGTCTGGAGAATCATGAATGTTAATGAATAGGGAGGGATTATCATTAATTGGCCAAAGTCTGTAGGGTACAAAAAGACCAAAGTGCAGCATCTCAACAGTGTGAATAGTTGTTGAACAATGGCAGGAAGTTGGTGTGCTTTTCCATCTCTGGCACTTTGTGTCTGGATCTGTGCTTTATGTCATGCTGTTCCACAGTGGAATAATCTGCCCCAGAATCCTCAAACCCTGATGTTCCAGCAAACTGACCAGCGGTTTCAACAGCAAGCTCGTCAACAGTTTCCTCAGCAGGTTCAACAGCAAGCTCGTCAACAGTTTCCTCAGCAGATTCAACAGCAAGCTCGTCAACAGTTTCCTCAGCAGATTCAACAGCAAGCTCGTCAACAGACACCTCAGCAGTTTCAGCAACAAGCAAGTCAACAGTTTCTAGTTCAAGAGCAGGCTAGTCAACAGTTTCCTCAGCAGGTTCAACAGCAAGCTAGTCAACAGATTCCTCAGCAGTTTCAACAGCAAGCTAGTCAACAATTTCCTCAGCCTAAGCAGCCAGTGGCACAGGCAGAGCCCCTTGACAAATGTGCTGTTGCTGATTATGAGCAGATCCAATGTGGACCACCTGGTATTAGTGATGCTGAGTGTGCAGCTATCAACTGCTGCTTTAACGGACAGCAGTGTTACTATGGGAAGGCAGGTAAGAGTGGGTCAATCCAAAGTTTTCATGTTAAACTGATCTTCAGCAAAAACTCATTAGTAACTCATTCCAGTGACTGTCCAGTGTATAAGAGATGGTCAGTTTGTGGTGGTGGTGGCTAGAGATGTTACGCTGCCTCGACTGAGCCTGGATTCAGTCCGTCTCCTGGGTGGAAGTGACCCACCTTGCAGTCCTGTGGGTTCCACTCCTTTCTTTGTTATATACCAGTTCCCTGTCACTGCATGTGGCACGAGCATGATGGTGAGTAGCTGCTTGTGGACATTTATTTTCTGGATGGCTTAGAATGGATTGGATTGCCAACAGTGTTGCTATATGCAGGAGGACAGTGGATATGTGGTGTATGAAAACCGAATGGTCTCCTCGTATGAAGTGGGTAATGGACCACTTGGTTCCATCACAAGGGACAGCCATTTTGAGTAAGTGACATGCTTTATCATACATGTTAATCACTGACAAATGCTACAAGCTCATGGTTTGTCTAGGCTTCTCTTCCAGTGTAGGTACTCTGCTACTTCTATTGAAGCTCTGGTTGTGGAGGTCAACAGTGTTCCTCCACCACCTCCAGTAGCTGCTCCTGGACCCCTCAGGGTAGAACTTAGACTAGCAAATGGCCAATGTGTCACTAAAGGCTGTGCAGAAGGTAGGTGCTTGCCCCAAGTATGCCTAAAGCCTCTTAAACTCCAGGTTGTAGCAGTTTAGTTGAACACTGTATCCTCAGGGGACGAGGCGTACACATCCTATTACAGTGCCGCTGATTATCCAGTTACTAAAGTCCTCCGAGAGCCTGTGTATGTTGAGGTGCGCATTTTGGAGAGGACCGACCCCAACATTGTCCTAATGCTGGGACATTGCTGGGCAACACAAGCCCCCAATCCACTCAGTCTACCCCAATGGGACCTTCTGGTTAATGGGTGAGTAAGGCTAGTCTTTATCTGTGTGCTGTTGGGCATTTCTGACTGCCTCTTTGCCCCTCAGATGCCCGTACCAGGATGATCGTTACATGACCACATTGGTTCCAGTGCCTGGATCTTCTGGTCTTCAGTTTCCAACCCACTACAAGCGCTTTGTTGTGAAGATGTTCACATTTGTAGATCCAGCATCACTGGCTCCTCTGCAGGAAACCGTAAGCTCCACAGTCTTACGAAGAACTTTAATATTAGTGCTATGTATAGTGAATTATATGGCTTAATCCTTTCCTTATCCGTTAGATCTTCATCCACTGTAGTACAGCGGTGTGCAATACCTCTTCTGGCTCCTGTGAGCAAAGTTGCGCTAGGAAAAGTGAGTGTTTGTTGTGAATTGACTTCAGGATCTGAATTTATTTAAATGCCCCTCATGCTTCTACTACTTTTTACAGGAAGAGATGTGCACGTCAAGACCATCTCTAGTGGGAAAACTGTGGTGTCTAGTGGAGAAGTCCTCCTGGTCCTGTGAATTTGGTGATTTAATAAACTTCCTGAAACTACACATTAGTTTCTCTTTGGTATTGATTTCTGACTGCGTTGGATGTTTCGTGACTTGTCAGTTTAACTTATAGGGCCACGCTAATAAACCTTTGTGCATTGAGGTTCTAGACTTGATCTAAATGGACCAAGCATCTGCCCAAGCCATTTAACTTAACTATTTAACTAAGCTCTAGTTGCTAACTTGGGGCCACCGTTCATGTTTCACATGGTATCAAATTATACTGTAGGTGCAATAGGTAATATTTGATGATCTATTGCAATAAGATCCACAATTGTGTTCAGTGGTGTATAAATGCTTTCCTCAATGAACCAATATGTTTTATTACCCAAGAGTGAGACATTTATATCTATGTAACTGCAGGCAGCCTTCTATGAAGGTCAACAACTTGTGATGTCATGTTTCAGCATAATTTACAGAGCATGTTTTGTTCATACCTAGAAAGATGCTATAAACTAGCCATAGACACTTATTTACTTTTCCCTTGTCAGTGGTGTAAAATTAAGTTGGATTGTTTCATGTACAGGTCCTTCTCAAAAAAATAGCATATTGTGATCTAGTTAATTATTTTCCATAATGTAATGATAAAAATTAAATTCTCCGGAAAATTCTAAATTCTACCGGAAGTGAGGGAGGGGTGCAATTATTGTTATTACATTATAGTTATTTTAGCAAGAATGTAAGGACAAAATGGGTTTGAGAGCGAGTTACTCATTTGATACATTGTAAGTTAAATATATACAAAACTGTTGTGATAAAACAGGCCTGCCAGGGTTGAATTGGTCATTTTGTATACACATTTGTTTCGTTTAAAACAATGCCGAATTTTCTCTCTTGTAGATTTTGACATTATTATTTTACACGAAAAAAAAATGCATGCTGCACATGTTCTTGTGAAATAAAGTATATTTTATAAAAAATGCCCATTTATTTTATTATTTTTTTTTTTTTTGCAGTTACCTTGTGTGATGTTAATGATTTGTGTTGACGCATCTTTGCCTCCGGCGGGGTATTTAAACACTTCACGGAGTTGCTGGATGAAATAATCCACTGAATATTTGAACCGTGAATCAGAGTCCCAAACTGCTGCAGCCCAGTCAATAGCTCTCCCCGTTAACAACGTCATTAAGAATGCACATTTCTTCTCCTCTGATTCAAATTTATCCCCTTGATGATCAAAGTACAGTCTGATTTGACGAATGAAGCCTTTACATTGTTCAGAAGAACCATCAAACTTTTCAGAAAGAGCAAAGCTTACCGTCTTGGGCGTTGGCTGTGGGAGTGATCGGATGTAATGTGTTAGATGTTCATTTACTGATTGGAGCTTGGTTAGTTGTTCCTGGTATCCCTTTAACATTTTGCTTTGATAAGTGAAGGCTTGCAGGTTCGAAACTTCCGCTGGATTCATGGGAGGCGAAGTATTCTGTAACAAGGACGCTGAGGCTGATTTAGAATCCATGTGCGGAAGTTTATTAAAGACAGTTTCCACAAACAAATACGATAAGGCAGGCAGAGGGTCAAAACCAAGGTACCGTAGCAGTCAGATCTTTCAACATACAAAGGGGAATTCCAAAAGGCAAGAGTGAGTAGGCAGGCAAAAGGTCCAAGCAAAAACATCAGTCCGATCAGGCAACCAAAACAAAGGGAATAATACAGAAAATCGAAAAACAGATTACCAGGCAGAATCATACACAATGGACAAGCAGGATCAACAGGAAATACTGCTCGGTAAGGCATGTAAACTGGCAATACGTCGCAATGAGTAAAGAATGGTCTCTGGTTAAATAGCAGTCAAACAGGAAATGAGTGCAGAAGAAGCAGAGGGAGTCGAACACAGTCAGTACTCAGGTGAGGGCTCCCTCTGCTGGTTTGGCATTACAGCTGTATGCCAAAATCATCAGTATTAAAACAATAAAACACCTGAAATATTTCAGTTGGTGTGCAATGAATCTAAAATATATGAAAGTTTATTTTTTTATCATTACATTATGGAAAATAGTTAACTTTATCACAATATGCAAATTTTTTGAGAAGGACCTGTAACTTCATTCTTCTCCCTTGCTGTTATGGCTTTGATAATCAGCTGATTTGTACTACTGACTGTCAATGTTACAGGAGTCACCAATCTGTTGATCGTGAAGAGTTTTCAAAACCAGAGAAAACATTTTTATTTGTGTGTAGTAAATGGTGTCTAGGGGATGCGGAGGCACGTGCGTTGTTACAATCACACTATTTTTGCCGGGCGCACCTTTGCACTCATGCAGATGCGTTGACTGTAAACAATGACCCTATTAAGACCCTTGATCCTCATCTGACTATGGCTTTGTAGACGTTATCCATGGTGTGGACTGTGGTACAGAAACTTGGCTCACTCTGGTTATTCTCTGCTGTTTCAGACGACGATATGTTCGTCCCATTTTAGCAACCGTAGATTCTTGGAAAGGGGGGGGGGGGGGGGGGCTTGTAACCGAACCGCTAGATGTCACAAAAATCTACACACTGCACCTTTAAAGGTTGTGTAACTCCTGTTTGTGGCTTGACTGCACATATTGATACTCGAGCATTGCCAAGCCCCTCTAAGTTTACTTTTTTTGTAATGGTGTTTTTTCTTTTCCTTATCAGTCCTAAACATAGCATCTGGATTAAATCTGTATCAACCTGCAGTTAATTTTCCTTTAACCCCAAGTTTATTATAGCACTTTTTTTCAGGATAGTCCCGGTAATATTTATTGAGAAGTAGACTTCTTTATTTAGCATTAATCCCTTAATTTTTATATCCCACCAATGCTGTCCGAGGCCTTGTTTACACCTGGTACTTAGCATGATAAAAGTAATCCACATGGCTTTGTGGGGGTTGGTAAAGGATTTCTGAAGGGATGTTTGTGTAAGAGAAATACCCATGTTTAAAACATAAAACTAGTTTCTGGCCGTACACTTATACACAAGTGGACTTCGTAAGTGTCGTAAGTTTAGACGCCTCTCGCACTTGGGCAACAAACTCAAGCTCCTCCAAGATTTCTCTTTAAAAATGGTTGTTTTAGACTTCTAATTCGTGACTAGTGTTTTGTTTTACTTTATCCTCTACTGTACGTGTCCACGTTTGTCATTATGTTGAACGTCGGGTCAGAGGTTAGTCTTCCACCCTAAATCGATGCGCATGGCCGTCTGACGGAAATTTTAGTTGATAAAACAAACATATCAATTCACTTCAGAAGGCCTTTATTTACCCTGCAGAACCATGTGGATTACTTTTATGATGGATGGAAGCACTTTGATGGACTTAGTAAATCATGGGGTATTTTTTTTTTTTTTGGTGAACTAACCCTTTAAAACTAATCTTTGATTACCAAAATTACATTTTTATTTTTTTCCTTGAAAAACCCCTGCCTGGACTGGTTTTATGATTTACTTATCCCCATTAAACTGTTAACAGATCTACCCCCGTTTCCTGTGTGTGGGATCTTCACATTTATGGGATATAAAACAGAAATAGAGATGACATGGAGTGGTTTATTTATGTCATAAAAGAATATTTCAAATAAATGCTGTTCTTCTGAACTTTATATTCATCCTAGAAACCTTAAAAAAATAGTAAGATCAACATTGATGATAATAGTGAATAATAATGAATGTTTTATCAAATTACTAAAGAGTGAAGACTGGAATAATGATGCTTAAAACATTAAAATAGAAAAGTCAATTTAAATGTGTATTTCAGGCCATATGATTGCTGGCCACTTGAACACATCTGTGATCCATTTGTTGTCTGAAATGGCATAGGGATCTGGTAATGTCTCACCATAATCGGAGGAGTCCACGCTACCTAGGTTTGATAGGCTACCTTGGTAATTAATTCTAGTCATTTCCTCACACATCTCATGTCTTGTACAGTATGTTTACAGTATCAAATTTTTCAAATGTGGCAGGTTGTGTTGTAGCCTTGTAAACAGTTTGGACAGAAAGGCTCAGCAAACAACAAAACCAGGTAGGTTAAGGTCATAAATCCATAGGGTATGTCAGGCTTTTATGATTATGAAACAACTTCATTCAGAGACCTGATGAACATCGCCATTTCAGAGTTGGATGGATCTGTTTGTTTACATAACATTATGTAAAACATTAGCTAACAACTGTTGACTGGTAGGCTAAGTTACAATTAACGTAGATTTCGCTTTGTGAATTCTTGTTGAATCAAACTGAATGGAAATAAGATCTCTAGTGTCTAGCCTGACACACAGTAGTGATCAGAAAGGCTCCAAATTATGACTTTTGAACATGTTTTATTCATTGCCAAGAGGACCTCATGTCAAATCACAGAGAATCGCACAGGTAAAAATTACAATTTATATGGGATAGGTACATGGCAAAGGTAACATGACTCATAACATGATTTCTCTAATATGATCAACACTGCATGAATGATTGGAGGTGGTTGAGCAGAATTTCTGTTCAGCAGGGCACCGACCATCATAGGAACACTATTCGGCACTCACTGGATTCCCTTCAGTTGGGTAAAGGACCTGTATGGATAGGGATTCAGATTGAGTGTTTTGTGCTGAACATCTGATGCTTAATGTCACTAAATGGCCAGACTAAAAGCATGAATAGCTAGTAACTTACAGAGTGAATTGCATTCCAATTATTATTCATCATCTTTATTAATTTTGTAAAGCTACCCTGGGCCTAAAATCATGCTATAGGCCAAATTCAGGCATGTTGATAGAACACAAAATAATCCAGTATGAAATTATATGCAATGATAAATTACCATCTCAATCTATTGATTTGGAATAATGAAACAATCCTAAGCCCATACATTTGCAGAGTCACATTCTCTTTTCAAAAAAATATTATAATATCAAAGCAATTAGAGGTCAGTGTCATTTTTGTTTGTAAAGAAAAAGAACATTGTATAACGCTACCTGATGTCTGGGTTTTAGGAGTGTGTTTGTGTGAAACCACTGCTAGTGGTCAGGAAGAATGAGTTGATCTGATGAATGAATTAAATCTTTTGCTAGTTTTAGTGTATTTTGAATGTGAAATGAACTGCTAGAAGAAAGTTGTGAAGAGTTTTGAATAAAGTAAAATAAAACTGTAAAGCACAGTATTGATTTTATTGCGAGTACTTTAACCATGTAGCAAAGTTTTAAAAATAGATTGAAAAACTAATTTAAAATAAACCAGTTGCTGTGATGGCAATAATGTTAAATCAAATTACAAAGCTTACAGAGTTGTAGCTTTAAGACTTAATCTATAATTTATTTAGTTAAAGACTGTAAAATGTTTGTTAACTACATTACCTACATGTTACACATCATGAGCAGTTTTAGTATCAGTGATCCTGGCCTTCATAAAGTGTATTTAGTTGATTTTTTTTTTTTAATCGATTGACCACTCAAATGCATATTTAGCCATTTCTCTGGTAACCTCTGTACACAAAGCTGTTTACAATAAGAAAATTGTTGTTTTTTTTTAAAAAGAAGTGTAAAAAAACCCTCAAAAATACTCTTTAACTTCATATTTTGGCAATATACAAACTAGAGATTTGCAATGTTTTTATATAGTTTTTAAACCTGCAATTAAAGCTAGCGAACAATACATATTTACAAAATAATCTTAGTGGGACATGTTTAATATAATAACCTATTATCATATAACCTGACTTTTTCCTGTGACCTGAAGCAAGATGCAGTTTTGTTCAATAGCTGAAGCCTTTTAGTCTGATGGCCAAGGTCTGAAGAGGTCCAATAATATACACCGTACAACAGCCTCAGGTCTTATATGGCCGAATCACAGACGTTATAATATAATACAATACCTGTAACTGGAGGCATACAGTCAAGTCCACATCCATTGTTGCAGCATTTCTCATTGTCGACACAGTCACTGTCATCGGCACACGACATGAAATTCATCAGGGGACACATTCCCAGTTTAGGTTTTCTGACTGGACACACTCCTGGCTTCACTGTAATACAGACACATGACAGAGAAGAAAAAAAAATAAATACTGAAGGTCTCTAACATTTTTGCTGTTGTTGCTGTAAGGACTTTTGAAATAACTAGTAATATAAAGAAGTACGCAATGCGGTCAAGAACTGCCTGGAACTAATTAAGCTGTGCGTTTCCCTGAATATAGTCACACACCTCAAACAATCAGATTCAAGCATTCAACAGTGAAGGTGAAGAAACTTTTAGAGAGCCTGTAAGGGGCCCAACATTCTCTTGAAACCCCTTAAAACTCTACCTAGCACCCCTGCCCATAATAATATAATACCTTTAACTGGATCCATACACTGAAGTCCACATCCATTGTTGCAGCATTTCTGATTGTTGGCACAGTCACGGTCATCGGCACACGACACAAAACGTATCCGGGCACACATTGGTGGTTTATATTTTTTGATTGGACACAATCCTGGCTTTGCTGTTAAACAAAGATGACAAATTACATTTGTAATTTTTACATGTATTGAGTAGAGAAACCAAAATAATAAGTCATACGAGTTGGCTTAATTTGTTGATCAAATATAGATTTCCTTCAGTTATTTTCATTCTTAAAGGGATAGGCCCTTTATTAACACCCCGGAGTCATGTGGATTACTTTTATGATGGATAGATCCACTTTGATGGAATGCAGAACAGAAACAGCCATTCACTGCTATAATAAAGCTTGGAAGAGCCAGGACATTTAATTTAACTCCGATTGTATTCATATTATGATATAATGGAGACCTAGGATGTCTGGAGGGCGAGTACTGTATGTCATGGGCTAATTTTCATTTTTGGGTGAACTATCCTGTAATTAAGCCTGTTAAAATGCATTTTTTTGTGAAGACTGTTTTAAGTTCACTTATATTAGGCTTTAAAACTTCTCATTTAACTAAAAACATAAAAATACCTGTAACTGCAGCCATACACTGACGTCCACATCGATTGCTGCAGCATTTCTCATTTTTGGCACAGTCACTGTCATCGACACACGACTCGAAAGTTACCCGGGGACACATTGCTGCTTCATATTTTCTTCTTGGACACACTCCTGGGTTCACTGTTATACAGACACATGACAGAGAAGCCATATCACTGAATGCGTTTTTTGAAATAACAAATCATTTGGCGAAGTCATATGGATATGTAATGAGGTAAAAACCTGCCTGGTTTGGGGGGGAGGGGGGGGTGGGGGTGCAGAGTATATCAGGCAAATGGGCCCAGGACACCAGTGGCCCAAATCTCAACGTTGGTTTATTTTATTACTTTTTTGTGATCATTTTTTTTTACATACACAAACATGTTAAATAATAATATTACGGTAAATTAAACTGATTGTGAGATTGTGGGCGATAAAAGGGCGATAAAAAAATATTATATTTTAGAGGATAATATTATATACATGAAAATTTTTTAGAGAATAATATTATACTATAATTTTTTATTGAAAAATACTAGATTGTTTTATTATGAACTTTTAGCATAAAAACAGAAGTTTCAATGATTAAAAGTGGGTGCATTGACTTTTTGTTACAAAGGTCAACACTCCTGTTATGATGCAGATGTTTTGAGGTGCACTCTTGTCATAAATTCATCACAGTTCAAAATCCGTCCCCACGGATTTATTTATTTTTCTCTTCCCGGAACTTAGGGGGAATCCATAGAAAAAGTAACTTGTTTTGGGCTTGTTTTCACAGGCCTGGTTGCTTATTTGTCTCGTGAGATCTGGCAACACTGGTTGAAACACTGATTAAGTGATTACACGAGACCTTCACCAAGTCGTACGGTTTTTCAATATCGTTCATTCGTGTTTATTTAATATCTACTAAAGAAGAACTTTAGATCAGTTCATGTGCCACGGTGATCTTTCCCACGGGTCTCTGAAGATAATTAGCCTTTGCAAGTCATAATCTGTCCCTGTGTATTATCCCAAGTGTAATGTGTGTGTGTCTTACCGCTTCTCATGCATGACTTCTCGCACTCTTTCTGGCTGTTGAACCTGTTGCCATTTCCCTGGCAGCCTCCATATATGAAGGACACACACTTTCCCGCAGCAGAATCGAAGCCCCACATGGGCATGTATGCTTCACAAGGACCAGGGTCCATAGGCAGTCTACAGACATCTAGATGGAGAAAATACACTGTATATTACAACTACATCAAGATAAAGTCACTATAGGCCTCTTAGCTGGGCCGTAACCCATCTTTGGATCACACACACAAAAACACCGGTCTCATAAACACACACACTGGGTGCAGTTGTTCGAGTAAAGGTTAATGCCCGACGAGGTGTCCATTGCCAGGTATTAATGGACGACGGCGAGGTGTGAACCATCTGATGCACAGCGGAGGTTTTAATGGACGACCGTTGCCTCCGCCGAAGTCCGTTGTACCTACACCATGGACACCTCAAAGGGCATTGACCCGCTTATACCACGGTCACTTGCCAAATAACACATTAAAACATTAGTTTAGTTTTTTCAATTGTAAAACAAATTAAAATATAACAATAACTTGATTTCCCTGGTTACGCCTGACTGTTTATTTTAGCAACCGGAGATATTTATTATCCGCTCCGCTTGTAAAGCCCTTCAGTTTAACTAACTTACGAGCCAGAAAGTGAGCGTTTTTTTATTTTATTTTTATTGCAAGTTAGGCTTGTCTAGCCATGGTTTTTACATGGTATTTTATTTTTTATCTATAATTAAAACACAAGTAGGCATATTTAAATGGCTAACTAGATGTTTATTTTGATAAAATAATATATTGTAAACAGATGCATTGACTACCTGTTGCTGTGGTTACGCACAGCTGATGTAGCCAGCGCATTTATTAATTAAGTTTGAATGGTTAACTGTCAGTTTCACCAGAACTCCTTTACTAAGCTTCATCACTTTTTAAATGGACACACTGCAGCCAATCAGAATCAAGTATTCACCCAGACCATGGTATAAACGACTGTAAAAGATGCGATTAGAGGCAATTAAGCAGAGCGTCAGATTGTAATTCGTTGTAATACCGATTACTAGACTAGTGAGTTTAGTTTGACAGATTTCTCAATAAAAAAGAAAAAGAAAAAAAAGGCGTTAAACACAACGTGAAAGACCTCTTATGTTATGAAGTTTAAAAATAGTTTCAGTTCATTATGAATATGGTGAGATTTGAGGCCTCAGTGAGAACAGTTTGAATTATTCATGATAATCACAATCACAACATCTATAAAATATATATATATACACACACATTTCATTGAGACAGTATTGGTATCAGTGATTCTTTCTTTCATAAAAAAAGCCATTACACAAATATTTGAAATATTAGCTACAGTCCTTGTTGTTTTGACAATAATTTGGAGATTAAATAATTAAATGTGAGATTAGTGTATATATATATATATACACACACACACACACACACACACACACGCGTAGAAAAAGAACTCGAATGTTAAGTGCAATTAATTGCGCTTAATGACAGAAATGTGTGATACAAATTTTTTTTTTTCCGATTGACTGTGGCGTGCATATAACATTATAGAATACAACAATCAATATAATATAATGTATATAAAACATAATATTATACCTGTAACTGCAGCCATACACTGAAGTCCACATCCATTGTTGCAGCATTTCTGATTCTTGGCACAGTCACTGTCATCGGCACACGACACAAATTTTATCCAGGTACACTCTTCTGGTCCATATCTAGTGCCTGGACACACTCCTGGGTTTACTGTTGTACAGACACATGACAGAGAAGACAGATCACTGAATGCTGAATGTCTTTTTATTACATAATGCAGTCAAGACCTGCCTGGCAATTTCTGATCTAAAACCAGTGTTTGAATTTAGGTGTGTGTGGGGGGATGTGTATGGTAGGGTCCCAGACCTAAAATAAGCATCAAGGCCTAACATAAAGCCTAATAAATGTTAAATTTGATAGATTTCAATTATACTCTATGTGCCTTTAATGGATTTTTATAAAAATATCCCATTATACCAATGTTTCAATATTTGCTTCTGTCTATGTTGCGTCTACATTCATTTGGACATTATATGAAGAGTTCAGATGCAAAAGCCTCTAAATGCCATTTGAAATTTTCTTCTTGAATGATGATTTTTATCAATCTTGTATTTTTAAGTTCAGTGATTTCACTTAAATGGCGATGATAATTACCTATTAATTGTTATTTAAGTGAAATCACTGAACTTAAATATACAAGATTGATAAAAATCATCATTAAAGAAGAAAATTTCAAATGGCATTTAGAGGCTTTTGCATCTGAACTCTTCATATATTTTTATATCGCAACTTCACATTTAAAGAACTTTATAAACTATGACTAATCACGATAAATTACAGAAAGATTAATTCGCTTTTTTAATCGATTGACGGCACTATATATGACAATCCAATCCAATAGAGTATAATATAATACCTGTGACTGGAGCCATACACCGAGTTCCACCGCATGGAGTGCCGCAGCATTTCTGATTGTCGGGACACTCGCTGTCATCGGCACACAACTCGTAATCCTTCCTGATACACCTTATTTCACTGTTCGTCTTTGGACACACTCCTGGCTTTACTGTTATACAGACACATGACAGAGAAATTCACTGTATAAAAATTTTGGAAGTTGGACCTATATATTACTGGAATACATTTTACTAGAAAGAACGTCCTGGTTGCGTATGTGACCCACTACTGTTCCCAGAAGGAGGAAAGTGAGGACGTAGTCGACGTCGACTGAATGACGAGATCACACCAGGGAACCCCATTCAGTCCACGTCGACTACTTCTGACGTTCTCGACTGAAAGGAAACTATTTCAGTCTTTCTACTTTAAAATTTCATGTTTTATTCGTCGTGGGTTTTGGTTCTTTTGCTGTTGTAGGCTTTAAGGACCTTTGAAATAACTGAAATCATTCGGTGAAATGATGTGGACATGAACATAATGTGGTCAAGACCTGCCCTTTAAATTTGATAGATTTCAATGATACTGTAATGCTGAATGACTAGAATTATGACTAAAATGAATAGCCTTTTATAAAAAAACAATTGTTTCCAATATTGCCTATTGTCTTTGTTGTTTCTACAATACATTTTATATTTTTTATGTCGTAAAAATTGCACACTTAATCAACAAATTAAAGTACTTGAATGTTGGGTGCGATTAATCATGATTAATTACAGAGAAATGTGTGATTAATTGTTTTTCTTTTTATCGATTGACAGCACTATACAGTATACTATAATACAATCAATAGAGTATAATATAATACCTGTAACTGGAGCCGTACACCGAGTTCCACCGCATGCAGTTCTGCAGCATTTCTGATTGTCGGGACACTCGCTGTCATCGGCACACAACTCGTCATCCTTCCTGATACACCTTATGTCACTGTTTGTCTTTGGACACACTCCTGGCTTTACTGTTAAACAGACACATAACAGAGAAGCCAGAACACTGAATGAAATTTTCACTGTAGAAAAAAAAAAATTTGGAAGTTGTACCAACAGTATGTTATTAGAACACGTTTTCCTAGACAGAACATCCTGGTTGTCTGTGACCCACTACTGTTCCCAGAAGGAGGAAACGGAGGACATGCTAGACGTCAACTTAATGGCGGGATCACACCCATTCAGGTGACGTCGACTACTTCTGACTGAAAGGGAACTATTTCAGTCTTTCTACTTTAAAATTTCATGTTTTATTCGTCGTGGATTTTTATGCTTTTGCTGTTGTAGGCTGTAAGGACCTTTGAAATAACTGAAATCATTTGGTGAATGTGGTCAAGACCTGACTAAACTACTTTAGTGTTTCCCTGAAAATAGGGAACACCTTACTATCCTCACCAACCAATCAGATTTAAGCATTCAACAGCCCTGTAGTATAGTATAATACTATAATCACTCTTTTCCCTCTTAGTTCATAGGTTTTCCATTTTTATTGTTCTTTACCGTTGTATGCGGAGTTTTATCTTAAAGGAGAACTCCAGTGCAAAATTAACCTTTGGTCTTTCTTTGGGGCTATTTTGAGCCTTGTTAGTAGTTTTTAGTAACACAGTGTCATCCCAAAAAGTCATATAACTGACATCTTGGGACATTTGACCATACGTCAATATCCGCCTTTTTAGGGCCCCCTTAAACGTCGGTAGATGGCGATCCCGGGCCGTCATAAAACTGACGCTTTACCTTTAACGTCAGTAAGGTGACGGGTTAGGCTTAGGGTTAGGTTTAGGTCTGGGGTAGACTTAGGATCCCATAACCTCATCTACCGACGTTTAAGGGGGCCCTAAAAAGGCGAATATTGACGTATGGTCAAAAGACATCCCAAAACGTCAGTAATATGACGTCTTGGGATGAGACCGGGTTGTTTTTAGAGATAAAACTCGTTACATTCGATTATCATGAAAACAAATCTCAGAGAATGGTTGACTAGGTACCGATGTTTTATTAGACCAAAGGTTAATTTTGCACTGAAGTTCTCCTTTAATGTTTTTTTTTTTTTCCTTGGCTTTTGTAAAGCACTTTGGTCAACACCAGATGTTTTTAAATGTGCTACATAAATTATATTGTATTGTATGTAAAAATTAACATGTTAAAGTATGCAATTAATATTTTCAGTTCAATCGATAAAAATATTTAATGCAATTAACTAAGGAACTTTAAAGTTTTCACCCAACTTAAAAGTTGTTAAACTTATAAAGCCTAATAAATGTTAAATTTGATAGATTTCAATAACACTCAATGTGCCTTTAACGGCTTTTTACGAAAATATGCCATTATACAAAAGTTTTCAGATATTTGCTTCTGTCTTTATGCCGTGTCTACATTCATTTGGACATTAAATGACAAATTATTACAACATGAAAATATATAAAGAACTTTTTAAAGAATGATTAATCACGATTAATTACAGAAAAATCATTGGCATTGGCACACAACTCTTTTACACCTTACTAATGCAACATTTGTCTTTGGACACAATCCTGGCTTTTCGGTTAGACAGACACATGACAGAGAAGACATATCACTGTCTTTCTACTCTAAAATATAATTGGAATACGTTTTACTAGACATAACAATTTCAGTCTTAATAAAAACTGAACTTGTGGTTTAAATTTGATACATTTCATTTATTCTCTATGCACACATTTCATTTTTTTATATATATATATATATAAAAAGATGCCATTCAACAAATATTTAAAATATTTTCATCTTTATGTTGTTTCACTGTCACACAACTCTTCACCCTTCATGATACACCTTTCTTCACTGTTTGTCTTTGGACACACTCCTGGCTTTGCTGTTATACAGACACATGACAGAGAATATATCACTGAATGCTGAATGATTTTTTCACTGTAGAAAAGTTGTATCCTTATGTTATTGAAATGTATTTTACTTGAAAGAACTATTTCAGTCTTTCTACTTTAAAATTTCAGGTTTTATTCGTCATGGGTTTTGGTGCGTTTGCTGTTCTTGGCTGTAAGGACCTTTGAAATAACAAAAATATATTTGACAGTGATACAAAGTAAAGGTGTCAAGACCTGCCTGAAACCACTATAACCGTGTGTTTCCCTGAAAAAAAAAAAAGCTGCATAAATATATATATATATATATATACACATATATACATATACTTAAAAGGACGATTTTAAAGAACGATTAATTAAAGAAAAATGTGTGATTAATTTGTTCATTTGTTTTATCGATTGAAAGCACTACATAATAAAATAAAAAATAAATAAATAAAATAAAATACCTGTAACTGGATCCATACACTGAAATCCACATCCATTGCTGCAGCATTTCTGATTGTTGGTACACTCACTGTCATCGGCACACGACACAAATCGTATCAGGACACACATTCCTGGATCAATTGTTCTGCTTGGACACACTCCTGGGTTTACTGTTATACAGACACATGACAAAGAAACCATTTCACTGAATGCTGATTGATTAAATGAAATGAAATACTTAACTTTCTGGCTTGTAAATTAGCTAAGGGTAAAGGGAAAGTTCACTTTGAAATTAACCACAGCCACAAAGCACCTGCGCCCTCAGATCACTTGAAAGTGGCTGTGGTTCATTTCAAAGTGAACTTTCCCTTTACCCTTAGCTAATTTACAAGCCAGAAAGTTAAGCATTTCATTTCATTTACAAGAGGTACAAATGATATAAATACTGTTCGTTTTCTACTTTTCTCACAAAAACCGCTCGCTTCGTGTCAGGCCATCAATGTGTACTTACATTTCCGAGTCATTGAATCATGTTTAATTTGGACTTCTCTGTGCGCGCTCTTTGAGGTGAACCCCATATCCCTCCATTTTATGACTGACAGACAATAACGATTTGACCTAAAAATATCCAAAATTGAAACTACTGCAGAAACAAAGACGCTAAAACATACCAAAAATTAATTTCAAAGTAAACTATCACTTTAACTGAAGGGTTTTACGAGCAGAGCGGACTATAGGCTAATCTCCGGTTGCTAAATAAACCATCAGGTGTAACCAAACAAATTATTATTGGTAAAAACTTTAGATTTCAATTACAAAACTAATTAAAATATAAGCTAATGTCTTAATGTGTTATTTGGCAAGTGACTATGGTGACCATTAACCCACGTTAACATATGCGATTCATATTTTCAGTCTGTGTTAATATTTCAACATTCATCAACCAATCAGATCCAAGCATTCAACAGCCATATAATATAATATAATATAATATAATATAATATAATATAATATAATATCTGTAACAGGAGCCATACAATGAAGTCCACATCCATTGCTGCAGCATTTCTCATTGCTGGCTTTACTACAAACACATGACCAGCCAAATTACTGAACGCTGAGTTTTTGGTTCTTTAGCGTTTGTAAAATTATTTGGCAACGTGATATAGATAGGCTATGTACGTAATGCGGTTAAGTCTAGATCTGCCTGGAACTAGCAGTGTTTCTCTCTAAAAATAACACACCTTATAATCTTCGTTAGTTTGGAAATATACTTTATTCCTAAACTGTGTAAAGTTCAGTTTAAAAAAAAAAAGTGTGAAACAAGACCTACAACCAATGGTAGCCTATCTGTCAAATTCATTTTAATCTACAAAAACAAAACTAAATGCAAAACTTTTTATTTATTCATTTAATTTTAGTTTCGGTTATTTATATATATATATATATATATATATATATATATATACACACATTTTTTTTTTAAAATAAAAATAAGGACTGATCAAAGTCTGATTAATGGCCAAAAAATAAATATCTGGTAACGTTCATAGCCTAACTAGACGTCTGTACTCTTATTGCATTTCTTCGTGCTGAGTAATTAAGTTAAAGAACATGAATCTCACCTGTTAAGTTTAGTCCTGGAGCAGCTTCAGTTGAGCTCCAGCATCCAGCCAGACACAATAACACAGCGCAGTACACTCGAGCTGCCATCCTCTCCATCTGCGACCACAGTCACACAATGAACTCTGCTGGGAAATCACGCTTATATAAGGACAAAAACGAATTTGAGTTAGCGCTCAACCAATGGCGTGAGTTTGAGGTGTTGTCAATTTCGTCTCCCTGCCAGAGGCCAGAATCTGACTCCCCCTCGCGCGCACGCGCATGACGTTAATCAACTATGGTTTTCAACACCTGTAATTCATATCTGGATTAAAGGAGTAGTTCACTTATTAAAAATAATAATAATAATAATAATAATACGTTTGCTGATAATTTACTTACCCCCATGTAATCCAAGATGTCCATGTCTTTCTTTCTTCAGTCGAAAAGAAATGACAGATTTTGATGAAAACTTTCCAAGATTTTTCTCCATATAATTAATGGACTTCACTGGCTTTAAACGATAGCAGACGATGAATCAGAAATTACTCGAAAAAAGATTTGTTCATTTTGATGAACGAGTTCGAGAGTCACGAACGCGCATCACAGAACAGAGCAAGGCGAGAATTTGTGCTTATAAAACGTAAAGTTTTTTTTATTTATTTTTTAAATGACTGATCGTTTCCCTAGATAAGACCCTTGTATACATCGTCTGGTGTCGTTTAAAGCCCTTTGAAGCTGCACTGAAACTCATTTGGACCTTGAACCGTTTGGTTCCCAATGAAGTCCATTATATGGAGAAAAATCTTGGAATGTTTTCTTTAAAAACCTTCATTTCTTTTCGACTGAAGAAAGAAAGACATGGACATTTTGGATGACATGGGGGTGAGTAAATTATGAGCAATTTTTTTTTTTTTAAGTGAACTACTCCTAAGTGTTTGTTAGCATTCATTATTAATTTATGATTGTTTTTCCCTGCTTTGTTTTGTGATTTTTGGTTCTTGTGTTACTGTGTGTGTGTGTGTGTGTGTGTGTGTGTGTGTGTGTGTGTGTGTGTGTGTGTGTGTGTGTGTGTGTGTGTGTGTGTATTAATAAATAGTTATTCCTTAATCAACAGCTCCATACAGTTTACCTTCCATAAAAAAATGAATGAATTAAATTTAATTAAAAATATAACCTGTTTATTAGATCTCATGGCAGGGGAAAGAAAAGAAAATAACTCCCAACATCTGTATAATTTTATGGGGTTAACTTCTAAGAGCAGGTGCATCAGGTCTCTTCTCTCCACTCCATATCTTTCTCTTTAGTACAGCTGCAAATCAAAAAGAAAGATAAAAACGAAGCAAAATATGAAAACCATTGTTTATTTTATTAACAACATAAATATTAACCATGTACTGAGTGGCACACATAAAAACACAATATTTTTTAACCCCAGCACATGAATGAACATAATGTCTGATATATGTATCCTCTTTTTTATTCTTATAATTCTTTTTGTAAATGTTTTAATCATTTTTATTCTCTGCTTGTATTGTCCTCATGCATCTGTTAACAAAATATATAGTATATTATATTTTTATCATAATATAAACTATATTATATTAAAATAGTACAAATTAAAAAATTCTTGTATTTGCTGTCCAGAATGACTTATCTCACTGATCTTTTAGAAGGCATTTGACCCTGCAGATCCAGCTGGACTGGCATGTGTATTATGTGCACAGCAACAAGCCAAACTGGAAACCAGACTTTGATGCTGTGAACATTCAATTAACCGAGAGCAGAGGTCAAACCATTGCTCAATTTGAAGAGTTTTATGGACACAATTATCTAGTTTTTGGGCTAAGATGTTATCAATTCCATTCTTTCGAGAATCTATTTGGATTGGAAAAGAAAGATTAGACAAACACAGTTCTGATGGAGAAGACAGAGATTCATTTTTGTCAGTCTCTTCTGAGACATCGAGAAATGTGAACCTGATGATCTGAGAGATCGGTTTATATTCAGTCAGCATATCTACAATTGAGGTCCAAGGCTATTGAGGTATTTATAAACAAGTAAAACTTTAAAATGAATCCTAAACGTAACCAGAAGCCAGTGTAAAGACCTGAGGACTGGTGATATGTTCATATTTTTTGGTTCTGCTCATAATCCTAGCAGCAACGAACTGAATGAGCTGCAACTGTCTTATGGTCTTTCAGTGTGGAGTCCATTACAATAATCCACCCTGCTAATGATAAAAGCATGAACGAGTCTTGAAACAAAGCATCTAATTCAGATGATATATAGTATGTTGATTTAGTTATTGCTTTTAAATGAATACTGAAACTAAGGTCTGACTTCAAAATCACACAAGATTCCTGACTTGATTTTTAGTTGTTTGACCCCAAGAGTAAATTTATGCATTCACCTTGAGAACTTTATCTTTGTTTTCCAGACATAATAACTTCAGTTTTGTCTTGTTTTTTACTGAAGAAAGTAGATCTGGGTGTCGTCTGCATATATGGTAAGCAATTTGGTTCTTTCTCATTATTTGGCTCAGTGAAAGCATATACAGGTTGAACAGAAGTGTTGCAAGAATTGAGCCTTGAGGGACTCCACATATCATGGATGTCCACTCAGACTTAATCTCCTATATTCACATAATAAACTCTCCTAATTATGACCGTAACCATTTTAGAAACATCCCAGAAAGCCTGACACAGTTTTCCAGTTTATCAAGACATTGTAATCTACAGTGTCAAATGCAGCACTGAGGTTGAGTAGTACCAACACTGATATTTTGCCTGAATTTGTATGCAGGCAAATATAATTTATTATCTTTATGAGCGTTGTCTCTGTGCTTGGATGTGGTTGGGAGAAATGATCGGGAGAAATGATCGGTTGGGAGATTTCAATCGGGAGAGCCAGATTGAAAATTATCAAAGTATCCATTCGAGCTTAAGAATTTGTTCATCTGATTAAAAAAAAACAACTTTTTCAATGCTCTAGCCTAAAGGAAGAGTTGTGATAGGTCTGTCGTTGCTCAATATGGTTTTATCCAGATTACTCTTTTTCAGGAGGGGCTTAAAAAATGCAGTTTTCAGGGAGTTTGGAAACGTCCAAGAAAGAAGTGATCCCTTACAGAACAAAATATATCCATATATTTATGATCAATATATTATATGGTGTAAATATACTTTAGCTGGCAGTTCAGGGGACCAGGGTGGAGAAGACCCTTCATATGGGCATGGCAGAGAAGACCCTTCATATGGGCATGGCGGAGAAGACCCATCAGGCGGCCATGGTCGAGAAGACCTTTCAGGTGACCATGGCAGAGAAGATCCTTCATGTGGCCATGGTCGAGAAGACCCTTCATGTGGCCATGGCGGAGAAGACCCTTCATATGGCCATGGCGGAGAAGACCCATCAGGTGGCCATGGTGGAGAAGATCCTTCATGTGGCTATGGTGGAGAATACGCATCATGTGGCCATGGTGGAGAAGATCCTTCATGTGGCAATGGTGGAGAAGACCCTTCATGTGGCCATGGTGGAGAAGACCCTTCATGTGGCCATGGTGGAGAAG